CTTTCTCCCTGTTCACCCCAGTTTCTATCCCAAGATGAGCAGTTCAGCTTTCCTGGACTGTTGTAAGAACTTCCTACATGGTCTTCCTGCCTTCTGTCCTTCCCCTTCTCTAATCTGTCCTCTCCACACAGCTGCCAGAATGAACTTCCTAAAGTACAGGTATTATCCTGTCACTCCTTGGCTCAAAAATTTTCAATAGCCCCCTATTGCCCCTATGATACAATACCAACTCCTGAGAATTTAAAGCCCTCCACACATTTAGTCCCAACCAACCTTTCCAGATTTATTTCATATTACTCATGTTTATTAATTCTGTGTCAGTTAAACTGGACTGTTGGCTATTTCCTGAACTCAGAATTCTGGGGTCCTCCCACTCCACTCTTACATTACATTCCCTGAATACACTCCCTTCTCACCTCTACCTTTCAGAATCCTTGTCTTCCTTCAAGGCCCAGACCATGTGCCACCTCCCCCAGGAAGCCTTTCTTGATCCCATCAGTTTGTGCTCTCTCCTTCAAATTACTTTACAATTCATTATCTGTGTTAAATTTTGCATTCCCAGGAGAATGTAAGGCCCTTGGCTGCAGAGATTTTTTGTTGGGTTTTTTTCCTCTGTACCACCAAAGCCTTACACAGACCAGCCATTTAATAATTGTTTGCTAAATTAGAACGTGAGTCTCTTACACTGTTGTGATGTCATTTCACTTCCTGCAGTTGTATCTTGACTGTAAGCTCCAGGTGGACGTAGACCAGAAACATCATAGCCCTTCTCCACCCTGAGGAGCCTGCCACAGTGCTGTCCACATAGTAGGGCCTCAAATTGTTCTTTTATTTGATTACCTCATTGACTTATTTCTGATATTACACCCAGGGGGAAGCAAAACAACTAAAGCTGATTTGAAATAAAATTAATTTGTGCTGGAAAAAAAAGCCCTTAGGCTGGGTGACCTCTGTTGTCCCTTACAACCCTAAGATGCTTCAATTCTCTTTTTTTTCCTTTTCTTTTCTTTTTTTTTTTTGGCTAGGCAATGGGGTTAAGTGACTTGCCCAGGGTCACACAGCTACTAAGTGTTATATGTCTCAGGCCAGATTTGAACTCAGGTCCTCCTGAATCCAGGGCCAGTGCTCTAACCACTGCGCCATCTAGTTACCCCAGATTCTTCAATTCTCTAAGCTCAGAAGCAGCTTGGAGTGGGTAGGACTAAATAAGCAACAAGATAACAGTGGTTCTTTTTTTGTGAGGCAATGGGGTTAAGTGACTTGCCTAGGGTCACACAGCTAGTGAGTGTTATGTTTCTGAAGCTGGATTTGAATTCAGGTTCTCCTGACTCCAGGGTTGGTGCTCTATCCACTGCGCAACCTTGCTGCCCCAACAAGGGTTCTTTCTAGAAATGTCAAGAAATTGTAGGGACAGCAGCCTTCAAAGGACTGTGTGCCTAGAGGATTCAAAAGAATGCCAGAGTCATTCATTTATACATCCTTATTGTGGTAGGGTGATAGGGGGGAGTTGGGGAGTGGGGAGGAAAGAGAAGGAGGAATGGGGGATAGAAAGGGGGAAAAGGAGAGAGGGATGGATGGAGGGAAGGAGAGAGAGGAGATGAGAGAGAAAAGGAGAGAGAGAGAGAGAGAGAGAGAGAGAGAGAGAGAGAGAGAGAGAGAGAAAGAGAGAGAGAGAGAAAGTTTATCAGGCATTTACTCTGTGTCAAGCAGTGAGGTAAGCACTAGAGATACAGATGCAGACAAACAAAATGGCCCGTGACCTCAAAGAGCTGATGGTCTAATGACAGCTGGGAAATAAATGGCTGCTGGGTTCTGGCCAATATAAAGCGAAAGCTCCCCTGGGAGAACCTAGTGTGGTTTCCTAGGTGGAGTCCAAGTTTCCCATGGGGAGGAGGTGGGGTTGAAGGTGAGTAGAAGCAGCATGGTTTGGAGCAAGTTATTGGCAGGCAAAGGGTGGGATTGGAGGAATCTATGATCTCTGTAAAACAGTGTCTCTGCTTCCTCCACCAGCTCTCGGGTCCCCCATAGCACCTAGTTCATAGGGCTATTTTGAGGCTCAAATGAAATAAGTATGTAAAGTTTTTTTAGTAAGCTGTATGAGTGTCAGGTAGGAGCCCAGGTATAAAATGCTGGACTTATAATAGGGAAGATTTCATTGTGTGACCAGGGGCCAGGTATTTAATCTCCCTGAGCTTTAGTTTCCTCATCTATAAAGTAGCTGGTGAAATATAATACCTGTAATACCTACCTCATAGGGTTGCTGTGGAGCTCCAATGATAGGATATATATGTGTGTGTGTGTGTGTGTGTGTATATATATATATATACACATATATATACATATATGTATATATGTATATATGTATGTATATGTATATGTATATATGTATGTGTATGTATATGTGTGTATATATGTACATATGTATATATGTATGTATATGTGTGTGTATATGTACATATGTGTATATATATATATATACTTTGAAACTTTAAAATGCAACATACATGTTAACTATTATTACTGATCTTAACTCTGACCTGAGGTAGTTACAAAGATGAGTGACTCCATTTTAAGGACGAAAAAACTGAGGCCTAGGGAGATAACGTGACCTGGCGAGGGTCACACAAGTAGTAAATAGTAGAAAAAGGACTTGCAAGTTCTTAATCTAGCGTCCTTTTCATTATACTGTGCTGTATAATGCCTCTGCAGCCTCCTGGCCATCTCCACCCAATGGATTACTTTGACCCAGAATCTGCTTGGTACCCATGGCTTTGGCCTGTCCTGTCTGCATTTTCATTTTTTTAAATATGCTGCTTTGAAAGTAGTCTTCTGTATTTCTACTGTACCATAAAAACAACAACAATGAATAGGTTAGGAAGCCTCAGAAGGCTCATATGAACTGATGATGCAAAGAGAGGCAAGTAGAACCAGGAAAACACTCTACACGATGACTACCCCAGCGTAAATAGAAAGAATAGCACAACAGAAACTGAATGCTGTGTGACTCTAATCATCACGCTGGGCCTGGAAGAAGAGGAGAGAAAATACTCATCCCTCTTTTTTGTGAGGTTTTAAATTTTGCATATATTGGTTAGACTCGGTGGATACGTTGATTAGTTTTTCTGAATTGTTTTTTTCTTTCTCTTTTTTATTTTTGGTTGCAAGAGAAACTTCTCAGGGGGGAGAAAGGGAAGAAGCATTTATTAAGCACCTACTATGTGCCATGCTCTGTGTTAAGTGCTTTATAAATATTCTCTTATGTGTATATGTACGGTGACATGTATATATGTGTATATATAGGACAATATTTACACACATGATAATATTTATGGAACATTCAACACAGTGCCTGGCACATAGTAGATACCATCTTTAGTGTATATTCTCTCTATATAGTTATATAGATATATCTACATATACCTTTGCATGTATATATATATATACACATATATATTTAGAAGTGAAAGTGATTTAAAAATAAGAGATAACAATAGAATAATTTAAATGGTTTTTTTAGCCTTTTCAAATATATATAGTTAGGGAGAGCCCCCAGCTCCCAAACATTTCTTCTACTCACCTGTTAAAAGCACCTACAAATTTCCTCTTAGATACCCATCCTTTGGCCTATGGTTAGAAAAGAAGCATCCTCTTTAGAAATTCAAATAACACATTAGCTACTATTAGACATCAATATCTTAGTGTAGATAAGTTTTCTCTTGGCCAGTTGGTGGGACATTGAGGATATGAGAGGATTAAAAAAAAAGGAGCATGGAATAGGAGGGGGGGATAATTTTGTTTGGAGTACAAGACATTGTCCAAAGAAAGCTGGCTGGGATCTGTGTGCCTCCTAGTTCTTTCCTTTTTTTAGTACTCCACACACAGTGGGTGAACTTCATGCAGTACCAATGGCTAAATGGCTACCACTGAGTAGGACCATAGGATCGTAGACTTAGAATTGGAAGAGTCACAGGAAGAGTCCAATCCCTTCATTTTAGAGATGAGGAGCTGGAACTCATCAAGGTACAGTCTCTTACTCAAGACCACACAGGTAGTAAGCAGCAAGAATCCAAGATTTCAGTCTAGGCCTTCCGATTCTAATCCAGCCCTCTTTCTCCTGGATCCTGCTTCCTTCTCAGCTTCATGTAAGAAGGAAAGAGATCTTCTGACCCCTTTGTTATGCTGAAAAAACACAAAATACCCTAATGTTACATCCTACTTATTCCAAAGACTTATTGAATTTAGTTCATTATATACCCTATCAAAGTTAAAAATCTTGTTCCTGCCCTGTGACAGGATGGCTCACCCCCCCCCCCCCCCCCCCCCCCGTCTTCCAAGCCCGATTGAATAATAGGGTTAAAATTCAGGGAGTTCTCTCTCTAATGAAGAGCCTTCTTTGCTCTGTTGCTACAGCAACTTCAGGGTAAGAAACAGGTTGACTGCAAAGATATTACATTTTGCAGTAATTCACTTTTCTACCCTCTGCCAAAATCCAATGAAGAGAAGGAACATGCACCAACTGATAGACTGCTGAAATAGGAGACCTGAGAAGTCACTTGTACATGAAATGCCCTCAATAAACGTTTGCTGATCAGCAAATAGATGATTGTAATTGTATTGATAAAATATAATTCAAAATATTTATGGAGGTGATGGCCAGCTGAGTCTTTCCATGAAAGTAAGATTTCATGGAAATGATTTCTGCAGACTAAGATTTGACCCAATTCTCTGTCACTGGTTTGTCAGGATGCAACATCCTCATTCCATTTCAATGCTGTCTATGGAAAGCCCAACAAAAGAACTAAGATGGGAAAGAAATAAATTTAAGGAATATGAAGTTGTCCAGTTTAGCTAAAATACTGGGTACAAGGAGGGCAGTAACATGGGATAGGATGGGAATAACTAGGTGGGATGGTCAGAATTCTTGAATGTCAAGCTAATGAATCAGTGGGGGGAGGGGAGTTGTTACTGGCAATAAGGAATCACTAAAGATTTTTTTTTAGCAGAGGAGTGACATAAGAAGAACATTAGGAAGATGGGTGTTGCTGCTCTGTTGTGGATGGATTCAAAAGGTAAGAGACGGGAGTCAGGGGGAACCGAAATGTGTGGAAGCTGTGGAAGGAGTTCAGCCAAGAGGTCACAAGGCCTGAAGTAGGGTGAGGACCTGGTCAAAGGGTGGGCATCAAATTAGAGAGACATGACACAGAACTGGTAGGACTTCATTCCTCCCTTCAACAGCTGTTAGCTGTTAGAGTGAAAATAAGTTTTCTGCTGTTCATCCTGAACAAGATGAGATTTGCTCACTTCTCAAAGCCCTTTTAAGCCAGAGCCTATTTTTAAAAATCCAAGAAAACCTCTTTCCTAACATAATCCCCTTGAGATCTTGCTAATAGAGTTAATATCATTAAGGGGAATCGTTAGGGGGAATATAGACTTCACAGTCTGGGGACCTCTGTTCAAATTCTACCTGTCACTTACCTTGAGCAAATCACTCAACCTATCTGGTTCCTAGTTTCCTCAAACATAAAGGGAGGCAGGGTTAGACCAGATGTCCTTAAAAGTTGCCTTTCAGTTGAAAGTCTATGATAAGATCTTTTGATTAGTGTTATTTTAAAACTCTATTCTGCAATCTGTCAAGTCTACTCAGAAATTGGACTTTGTAAAAAATAATTTTTATCACTGTGTTATTTTTACGTTGTCTAAATTTCCCCCTGTATCCTCTCCCCTGCCAGAACCCACATAAGAAAGAATATTAATAAAAGAAAATAGAAAGAAGAGAAAAAGCAATCAGTAAAACCAATCAATACATCTCAAGAAATCTGCAAATATATATGGTTGTTGACACCTGTGGACCTCCCACCTCTGCAAAGAAGTAGGGGGAGGTATCTTTTCATATCTCTTCTTTGAGGCCATGCTTTCAGAAATTATTCTTTCTTTAGAACTGAGGTATGTTATCTGGTGTTTTGCTGTGTTTTATTTTTATGAAGTACAAAGCATGAGGGTTCATTATACCCACTTACCGGAAAGCCAGGCAACAACCAAGGCCTAGTCAGGATGTCTCCAGTTTCAATTGGTGGGAAGGAGGAAGAAGTTAACAATGACCCTGAATTTTCAAGTCAGAGGGAATGGTGGGAATGGCAAATACAGGAAGGAGAATAGGCTAGGGAGAAGAAGATCATGAATTCAGTTTTTGACATGTTAAGTTACAGGCACTAGTATAATATATCAAAGCAGATATGTCCATTTGACAGTTGTAAATGTGGGTCTGGAACCTAGAGGAAGGTCAATGCTGAGGACACAGCTACAGAAATTGTCCACATGGAAGTGAAGCAATGGATTTGGATAATATTGCCAAGGGAAAGGATAAAAGTAGACTAGAAGAAGGGTTAAGCATAGCCTTAAGATGCATCTATTTTTAAGGACCAAGAGGAAGAAACGAAAAAAAGAGGCAAATAAGAAGTAGCCAGAGAGGTGGGAGAATAAGAAGAACAGAGAGATACTAAAGCCAAGGGAAGAGAAAATATCGTAAAAGAAAGAGTAGTCAAAAAATGTCAAATGCTGAAAAAAGGTGGAGAATTTAGGAAGTCATAAATGACCTTCCCAATAAGAGTTTTAAGTAGAGTGCGGGAAACCAAGCTAGACTGCAGAGGGTTGAGAAGTAAATGGGGATGAGAAAGTAACAGATTACTCTTCAAAGAAGTTTGGCCATGAAGGGAAGGAGAGGGATTATGGCACAGATTAAGGGCTTATAGGATCATAAAGCTAGATCTGGGAAGGACCTCAAAGGCCATCTATCCAACTTCTTCATATTAGAGATGAGAAAACTGAGGCCCAGGGAGATTAAAAATAACTTGCCCAAGGTCAATAGGGAGTAGTAAGATCAAGAAATAGTGTTGTAATGGGAAGGGGGGTTGATCAGAAGGGTCGTTGGCCAATTTGATGAATGCTCCAAAAACAAGTTGAGAATGGGCGGGGGGGGGGGATCCTCTATCTAGAAGCATTTGAGGGGCATTTCTCTCTCTCTGGACTTGATGAGATTATAGCCATGGTTCTTTGTTTGAAGACATTTTAGGTATACCTCCCCATAAAGTGTGAGTATGCCCACTGCCATCTTGGTAATGAGACACAGTGGATAAGGCTCAAGATGACTGGATTCCTGGGAGTCCAAGGGAGACAGAGAGAGGAGAAAAGAGAAAGGGTAGGAGAAGAAAGAATAGGAGGGGAGAAGAACGAAAGAAGGGAAAGGGCAAGAGGAGAAGGGGAAGGGAGAGAAGGAAGAAGAGAGAAAGGGGGGGAAGGGATGGGATGGGAATGGGAGGAAATGGAAGAAAGGGGGAATAGAGGAAGAATGGGGAGGAAAGGGAGGAAAAGAGGAGAGAAAGAAGTGAAAGGAGAAGTAAGGGAAGGGGAGAGAAGAGATAGCTGGTCTATCAGCTTGCTTTTATAAATCACAGAAAGGAATAGATACTCTTGTGTCCCAGGCAGCAATCATCTTGAGTTACCTGAATCCTATCGGTAAGGCGCCAGTAAGTCGGCCCATAATCTATGAGGAAACACCCTGTGGATGCTTCCAAACCAAGACCCATGCCCTGTATTCTTAAAGTGATTAAGAAATTCATGAAATTGATCAGGGATTCCTCTGATCAACCCCCTTTTTCTTCCCCTGGGGGGAAGAGGAAGCAGGAAGGTTAGGATTAATGCACCCTGAGCATATTTATAGAAATTAGACAAGAACCAGTGTATAGGGAAATACTGGAGATGAAAGAGGGAGAAATGCCTGGTAAGGTCCTCATGGAGGCCAGAGTTGAAGAAGCTAATCTCAGCAAGGAGGAAGACCATCTTATTCTCTGACCCAAGAAGTAAGGAGGAAAGTATGGACCCTTCCCCATCTCCTCCATTCCCCATTACTTTGCATTTACTTAGTGTGGATTTTGAATTTAATTATACGAGTGGATATTGTCCCCCCCCCCAATAGAATGACTAAGTTCCTTGAGGGCAACACCCTTTTTATTTTTGTCTTGGTATCCAACATCCAACATGGAGCCTGGCACATAATAGTCCCTTAAGAAGTAGTTGTTTGAATGGAGGAATAATTTGTAAAGATAACAGAAGTTTTGAGGAATACAGTTGAGAGAATTCATAGCAGGTGCCCTGGGTCTTCTCAGTAAAGTAGGGTGAGCCATCTACTAAAAGTGACCCAGGGACAGGGGTAGGTCAGGGGCTTGAGGAGGCTGGAAAATGATACAAAGTCTCCGTCGTGCCAAAAGAGGAAAAATACCAGCTAGGCTGACCTCAGTCTTTGACAGCTTACATCACGCCCTGAATCTCACCATGCTTCAGTGAATGTAGATGTCAAAAACAAGCCTCTGAGCCTATCTCAGAAGTAAAGCGTGATGCTCAGGGGGGGAGGGGGCAGGATGAGTGACACACAAGAGAAAAGAAGGTTCTATCATACAGGATGGAATAAATGCCGCGAGAGACATGGTGTGTGTGCTGCTTCCAAAAAGCTCCGTGTTCTTTTTATAGCCTTGGGGAAAAGCCTGCAAAATCCTGAGGATGCCTAGCCTTAGAGGATGAAGAAATAATGAGCTGGCTGGTTGGCAGGAGGATCACAGGATGACACAGAAGGAATGGCAGAGGAGAGGAAGATCACAGGCTAGGTTTTCCAGGGTGCTTGATGTTAGCTTAAATGATCAAAGGATCTTCCAGGAAGAGGTGCAGAGGACCATCTAATCCAACCCCCTCATTTTATGGGAAAGGAAATTGCAGGCCAGGGAAATGAAGGCGCTTGCCCAAAATCACACAGGTAGCTAAGTGCCAGAGAAGTGGATTTGAATACAGAGCCTCTGAAACCAAAAGCCGCTCTCCTTCTATTAAGAAGAACTCTCCAACAAGATGAAGAGCGACTAAGGTTGTGAAGGGACCGGAGCCACAAAAGAAGCTGTGGGTGACCTGGGATAGAGCTGGCCAGGTGGCTGAGCAATCTTGCCATGATACAAGCACTAGATGCCCAGCTGTGGAATGAGTGACAGTATTCAGGAGGCCCTCGTCCCAAGCTGCACAGCCCCCTCGTGAGCCTCTCAGACACGTGCTAGCTTTCCTAAGCATCATCCCAGTCTTACAACATTTGGGATATAAACTGCCCAGGGGTGAAGGACTAGGTCTCCAAGGACCAGACTGGGTGGCATCTGCCAGAAGACGGTACCGAAGGCGCAGAAGTTGTGGCGCAGCAGAATTGGTGCTGAACTGGGCGATTAGGAGTTCTGGGTTCTAATCCAGACTCTGCCACTGTCTGGCTGTGGGACTTTGTATCTGGTCTCTAAGGGTCCTTCTTAATCTGATTCTGGGTTTATTCCCTTACAGGAAAAGAGCTGGGCAACGTCCATCACGGGGGAAAGATCGCCACCTGCTGTGCCACTCTGGGAACTTCCCAAAGCGCCTTCAAACAAGACCTTGGATTGAGGCCAAGAAGAATTCAAAACAGACGGTTTAAAGCTGAAAGGTCCTCAGGGGTTATATAGTCCCAAACTCTCAAGTTATAGATGAGGAAACTGGGACCCAGAGAGAAGAAGTAATTTCCCCAGGTCACACAAAAAGTGAGGAAGGGCCAAGACTAGAACATTGATTTCTGGGCTCCATAAAATTCAATTTATTCCACTAGAATTCAGGGGATTAAGAATTTGGGTTTTTTATAACTATATCTAGGCATAATTGATTTTGTTTATACTCCTATGTATTTTATCTTATGCATTTAAACTAAATGGACTGCTTCTGAGACGGAGTCCATAGGCCTCACCAGACTGCCAAAAGTGGGGGTGGGATTTGGTCCATGACCCAAAAACATTTAAGAACCCCTACATGAGATACTGTCTTCTAAACTCAAACCTGATCACTGTGTAAGCCTTATAAAGTCAATCAGTCCCATTGCTAGGGGACAAGGACAGCTGCCCCTAAAGAAAATTATGCATAAGCAAGTGTTTATTTAGCAATTTTCTGCCCCGGGACATCCTGTTAAAATCCATGGTCCTTTGATTCTATTTGGGGCTGCTCATCAGCCCACCATCCACACAGGGTTCCTCAAGCTGCAAAAGACCCAAAGCGTCCATCAAGATGCCTCCCCTGGCTTTAACTTACCCACCTGGTGCCCCATTGTACCCTCTGTCCACCCAGACTTTGTCGCACTCCTTCCTCTTCCTGCTTATAGAAAATGCCTAGTTCGATCCTGGGAGGATATATCATGTGTTACTCTACTGCTCATGCCTTCATTCACCAAGTATTATTAAGTACCTAGAGAGGGGTGACCCAGGGGAAGACTGTGGCTGAAGCCTGGCATCGAAAGTCCACAAGTCAGAAATGTAGCTGGGAGGAGAAAGAGAACAGACTCTATTTGGTACTTGTCGAGTTTGAGATGTCTATGAGATGTCTAGGACAAGACTGTAGCTCAGGAGAGAGACTAAGGCTGCATGTATAAATCTGGGAATCATCTGCATAATTGAGTTCATGGGAGCTGATGAGATCCCCAAGTTAAATAACATAGAGGGAAAAAGAGAAGAAGGCCCAAGACAGAGCCTTGGTCTTGGCAACTGATGGGATATAGGGGATGAGGGAGAGAGGAGAATCAAGGATGATTCCTAAATTGCTAGGATTTGGGGGTGGGGGTGGGGGAGAAGGATTAAAAAGTTTTATTTTGGATGTCCAAATGGCAACATCTAGGAGGCAGCTAATGTTGCCAGACTGGAGCTCAGGAGACACATAAAGGTAAAACATACAGATCTAGTCCTCATTTACAGGAGATGATAATTAAACCCCTGATAAGATCATAAAGGGAGAAGGTTTAGATATAAGAAAAGATTTGCCAGAACACAGCCCTGAGTTATGCCCACACAGAAGGGGCAGAGCATGGTGGATAATCCAGCAAAGGAGACTGAGAAGGTGAGTTCAGTTGAGTATTAGGAGAACCAGGAGAGAACAGTGTCATGAAAATCCAAAAAGGAGAAAAGAAGAAGGAATGATTTACAGTGCCAAACACTAAAGAGAGGTCAAGAAGGATGAGAACTGAGAAAAGAACACTGGATTTACCAAAATGGAAAGGCTTTGAGAATTCTCCTAGATAGCAGACTTTACCTACTGTCAAGATATTGTCATGTTACTAGAGAGAAGTCCATTACCAGCAGGGTGGCCACTACTGGTGAATCCTTTGGCTAAGGAAACCCACCAACCAATTAAAATGCCATATGGACCTCAGTCCCATGTGCTTCTGGACACTTTCACCATCATTGTGGCATGATGGCAGAAAAGGGGACGGGGAGTGATAAGAAATAGAGTTTTTGACCACCTATACACTTTAATTTAATGACTGGCATTCTAAAAGTGAACTCCTTGGCCTGTCACCAATGAGGTGGCATATTATCGCAGGAACTGAACTATATTTAGGTTCAAAACGAGCCCAGAAGATACAAATAAGTTACAGGCAAACGGAAAGATGGTTCATAGTTTCTTCTAGAAGAGACAAAGGAAGGAGTTGGTGGAGTTAATTAAGTTCATTGTGTACTGAAGAGCAAGAAGAAGCATCACCTCATGCAGTAGCTGGTCATTTCATCTTGAAGGCTTCATGAGGTGTACAAGCAAGCAAATGTCTTTTTTTCTTGAGAGAATGGTATATTTCATAAGGTTAATGAATTGCATGTGCTGTAGGGAAAATCTGTACTTCAATTATGAATATATAAATTCAACAAAGTACAAGTTAACACATATCAAGCATATATGGTCTAGACAACCTGGAAGTGCAGTAAATCTAGGTCTGGGCTTGGAGTCAGGAAGACCTGAGTTCAAGTCCTGATTGAGACATGTACTAGCTGTGTGACCCTGGGCAAGTCATTTCATTTCTTTCAACCTCAGTTTCCTTATCTGTATAATGGGGTTAATAATAACATGTGATTTACAGAGCTATTGTGAGGATAAAATTTGTAAATGTATGTAAAGTGCCTTGCAAAATTTAAAGTAGTATATAAATGCAATTAAGGGAAGTTCTTACTTTAGACAAGCATGGAAATTGATCAAAATAATTTCCATGCAATGAAAATAGAATACTTAATGATAATTTTAAAAATAGAAGACATACAATCATCCTTGAAAGTAGATGCAAATTGTATTTCTCTTAAGTCCAGCAGGATCTGGTCAGGAGTTGGATTACCTGACTCCTGTACCCACCTTTTCTGATATTTACCTTAGGAATTGCTATAATGCTTTATGCTTACTATGAGAATAATGAGTGGATAAGCATATTTCCCTATTTGATACATACAAACAATGGAAAATAATTTTTAAAAATCATTATTGCCTCCAAAATGTTCACATCCATAATTTTGTCTTATTGATTTAGCAGTCACCCTTTTCTTCTCATAGGGCTTTAGATCAATGCAAGAAATATTATTAAAAAGATAATTTGTCCTAGGAGATACACTGAGTACTGGAACTATAAAGTACTTAGCATAGGACCTGGTACATAGTAAGCACTTAATAAATGTTTATTGACTGACTGACTATAAAGACAAAAGCAGAACAGTCCACACCTTCCAGGAGGCAAGCAAACTGTCTTGAAAAGAACTGCAGATCATGTGCCAGCATCACTCACAGAGGATGAAAACATATGGATCCCTGCCAAGAACTTGACAAACTCCTACAAACCAGATCCTTACAAACTATTATGCCTGGTGATTTCAGTGTGAAGGAGAAAAGAAGGCAAGGTGATTAAAAATAGGCCAGAAAGTATAGCCCAAGATTTAGAAATGAAAGACAACAAAAGACATGTAGATTACTCAGGAGATTCATACTTATATATCAGGTATTCTTTAAGAAGACAGTTGGAAGGTGCAAGACATAGGAAGAAAAGAAGAAAGGAAGAAAGGAAGAAAAAAGGAAGGAAGGAAGAAAGAAAAGAAGGAAGAAAAGAAAGAAGGAAGAAAGGAAAAAAAGAAAGAAAAAATAAAGGAAGGAAGGAAGGAAAGAAAGAAAGAAGGAGAGAGAGGGAGGGGGACAGAAAAAGGAAGAAACAAAAGAAAAAGAAAGAAAAAAGGAAGGAAGCAAGGAAGAGAGAGACTATGTCTTAACAGAATCATAGAATCATGGAATTCCAGAGTTACGAGGGCCTACAGTAGCCATATAGTCCAACCCAAATCCAAAAAAGAATTCTTTACTGTAGAATACCTGACAAGACTTCCAATCATCAAATGACATCTATTCAAAGTTTTTTGTCATCCAGTTTGCCCTCCCCTGGACACTCTCGCACTTATCAATATAATTCCTAAATTATAGCACCCAGTACTGAACACAATACTCCAAATATGGTCTGACCAGGGCAGAGTATGGAGAGACTGTCCTCATTATTAACACAAACCAAGGTCATATGAACTTCTTTGGCTATCACATCATGGTGACCCATACTGAGCTTGCAATTCACTAAAACCCTCAGATCTTTTTCAGGCACACTGCTGTCCAGCCCTGGCTCTCCATCCTGTACTGTGAGGTTTAGTTGTTTGTTTGTTTGTTTTAACCCAAGTGTAAGACTTTATATTTATCCCTACTAGATAGCATCTTCTTAGATTCAGTCCGAGGCTGTGAAGATCTTCATAGATCCTGATGGTCATCCAGACTGTTAGCTATCCTTCCCAGCTCGAGATCATCTATAAATCGGATATGTATGCCATTGATGCCTTGGCAGTTAAAGCAGTAGGAAAATTAAAACGGATTGATTCCACCATCTCTTTATCATTAGTTGTTATAATCCCATCTATCCCAAACAGCAATACTATCCCTTCTTTTATAGAACTCTTTTAATAATAATAGTAATAATAATAATAATAATGTCAGTAATGATAATAATAACCACATTATATAGCACTTTATGGTTTGCAAAGCACTTTACAAATATCTCATCTGGTCCTCACAACAACCATACGAGGTGAGTACTATTTTTATCCCCGTTTTACAGATGAGGAAACTGATGATGAAAAATGTACATACCACATACTTTTAAATTTAATTTGCATTATTAACATTTTCTCCATCGCTTTCTTAAGTCTAGACAATCAACAAATTAATGAATCAAATCCTGATTTGTAGCATTTGCCAATTTCTGAGGTTAACATTGGCTAGCCTGTGTGAGTTGGCTCCAACATACCAGTTAGGTAAAGGAAGTTAAGGGAATTTGCCCATGCTGCTGCGACTAGTAAGTGTCTGAGACAGGATTCGAACTCAGGTCATCTTGACTAAAGGTTCAGTACTCTACCTATGTTCTAAATTCACACACAGAAAAAAAAAATGACCTTTTTTTGTTCCTAGAACTGCTCCCTAGTCTCTGGTTATTCTAAACTTTAGTATTTTTTTCACTATAGAGCAAGAGTGTGGCACTGAAGAATGACTATACCCAACATTTGGTCTCTAATTGGTGTAGTCATTTTTTTTCTGTTGGCACATACTCTCAACCATTGCCCCTCCATCCTGCTCCTTGTCCAAGTTGGAGAAGATTCATTTAGCACCTTAGACCTGGTCTTGATCCCAACTTGAGTCTCGGCTCAATGCTAGGCACAAGGGCCATTATAACCTGAGTCATAATCCAGGCATCCAGGATTGAAGTCAACTTCTTCTTCTTCTTCTTCTTCTTCTTCTTCTTCTTCTTCTTCTTCTTCTTCTTCTTCTTCTTCTTCTTCTTCTTCTTCTTCTTCTTCTTTTTTAAGGCAGTTGGGGTTAAGTGCCTTGCCCAGGGTCACACAGCTAGTAAGTATTAAGTGTTTGGTCTGAGGCTGCATTTGAACTCAGGTCCTTCTGACTCCAGGGCTGGTGCTCTATCCACTGTGCCACCTAGCTGCCCCTAAAGTCAACTTCTTACTATGATGAAAAGCAGCTGTACCCCTGCCTGATTTTTTGCAATCCTTTCATTGGGATGACTTTTATTTCTCCCTCCTAACACTGCCAATTCCTACAACATTTACAGATACACATAATGAAACTGCTGCTTCTTTTGTTTTTGGTGTTGTTCTTGTTTGTCCTGCGTTCTCAAAGATGACCATGACATCAGGGAGGTGATGCCATGACATGCAAGTGAATCGGATTTAAGTGAGAAAGGGCTGTGGAAAAGTCACCTGCCCATTTAAAAGGAACTTTTAGTAATTTTCATTATTTTTTTAGCTGATTTGTACATCCAGCCAACTAACTGTGCTTGTGGGCCATTCAGAACAAGGTTTTCCTCCGTTACCCTGAATAACTGGGATTTGGCTAGGACTGAATCGTGATCTCCTGCTATTTCAGCATAAAACCACAGATTTCAAATGTCCCTGAGTGCCTGAATTTGTGCTCAGCATTCAGGTACAAAAGTTCATCAAAAATGTAGCCGTTCTCTGCCTTGTGGAGGTAGCATTTGGCAACAAACAAACACAAGTAGAAAGCTGAAAGGAGACCAGACATCAAAGGAC